TTTATGGCTACATATCGATGCAAGTACTTCTACATTAACTGTGATATCTCGAGTATAAGTGAAATTTGGCTTAAACGCTATCAGCATCAGGAAAAAGCTTTTGAAATATTTTTAGATACAAATCAATCTCTATTTTTCTCACTACAAAATCAAGAAGATTATAAAATTATGTACGATGTGTTTTGCGATAAGATCGTCACACATCCCGACCAAGCAAAAATTCTCGTAATCACACAACAATGGCGCGAAGGTTTATTGACCAATTGGGAATACTTAATGACACTTAATCAAATTGCTGGACGGACTTATAATGATCTCATGCAATATCCCATATTTCCATGGATAATATCAAATTATATATCCGACATATTGGATTTGACTGACACATCGAATTTCCGTAAGTTGGAGAAACCTGTTGCTGTCCAGCACGAAGAGAATGAACAACATTACATCAACAACTATACGGTAAGTTAAAAATGAAAATCAGGAACATTTTAGTGGGAACGGATAGATTTCGGACTTTGCTTCACCTCATCACAATTTTTTGTACAGTTGGTAAAAGTTCACACTTGTTGGTACTAAATTAAATATGTGACAGGGAATTTTATGTATAAATTGAAAAAATATTAGCCCTTTACTACGCCCATTATGGGGCTTTTAGAACCGTATTCCCAGAAGTTAACCAAAAATTTAAATGTAAAGGTTAAAGGGTTCTGCAAAAGTGTTAAGCGGAGAATTTTACTGGAAGGCACCGAAGAAACAACAAATAATTTTTAGCAAAAAAAAAACGACTTCAACTCTCATATAAAAAAAAATATATATATATATATCTTATGATCCACCAGATTAGTATGGGACCACCTCTGAGGCACTACCTTTCCGATGCAAAAAGAATTATCGAAATCGGTTGACGTGGTCCAAGGTTATGCGGTAACATACATTAAAAAAAGAATAAAAATATTCCGACGAACTGATAACCTCCTCCTTTTTTGGAAGTCGGTTAAAAATTAAATTACACAGCACCACAAAAAAAAAACAAAAAGTGCCATGTACTTTTAACAGTAATACCCTATCGCGATGTGTTTTGGCGCCCTGAGCACGAATCTGAAATCCGTTTTGCTCTATCACCTCAGGATTGTTTCCTAACCTCAAAAAGCATGGCGGTTATTATGTGACAAGCACGTTTTTTGAGGTTAGGAACAAAATCCTGACGTGATGAAGCAAAACGACTTCAGATTCGTGGTCCGGGCACCACATGGGAGAAAAAAAAAATGTAATTATTTTATAATAAAATATGAACACTTTTGTCCATGTGTGTATGTCAGCTATTATTTTTGAACAAAACAATTTAGAAAGAAATCCTGTTTCTTCACTACGTTTTCAGCGAAACTAACAATTTCTATATTTTTTCCAGTACATTAACAATACGATGACTAACATGGGCTCCATGACGCTGAAGCCGTATCATTATAGCTCGCACTATTCAAACTCTGGCACGGTGCTGCATTTCCTCGTGCGCGTACCTCCTTTTACGAGTTATTTCCTGAGATACCAAGGTAAATATAATTTTATTTGTATTTATCACAATAAAAAACAACTCCCGCGATATCTGTGCTAAGCTGCTAATGTCGCCTTATGGCAAAATTAAGTTAAATGGACATATCGTTACCTTAATTCACAAAGGTCCTAACCAACAAATTTTTTATTTTGCAGGCGAAGAAAAACAGTATAAATAAATAATATAAAAAAAAAACTTTTTAATATACAACGCTTTTATAAATGGACTAAAAAGTAGATATTTTAAATATTTCTCAGTCCCATAGAATTTGTTTTGATAACTTTTGATTTTGAAATTTTAGCAAAAGTCATTATAAACAATCTATGAAATTGAAAATGAGCTTTTCAAAGCAAAGGTGTATTTTAATATATTCTACAAAATTCTTTGAAAAACGCAGTTTTGAAAAAAGTGTTGGTTAGGGCCTTTGTGAATTAGGCGACGATATGTATATACATAAGTATATTCTGCAATTTCTGCGATAAATACGTAAGCTCATTTGTTGGGAGTGCTAATTGATCACAATCGGGGATATTGCTGAATCGTATCTACTATAATACTCTCACTGAGGTTTCAAGAAGGCTCCCAGGGGGTTTCTGTTCAGAATCGGTCTGATAGAATCCAAACGAAGATACAATAGTTGCGATCCCGTACGAGTCCGGACTAGTCAGAAATAGTCAGAATCAGTCAGATTTTACTGGAAATCGATCCTGTACTCGGTTCTCTGACTATTGAGAGGACAAAAAAGAGAGTAAATACGGTTCTCTCTCTGTCAGAAGTTACCAGTTTTAGTCCGAGAATTTTTTGCTGGTAAATTCTGGTAAATGTGTCAAACGATCAGCTGTAGTGTGTTTGGCAACCAAATTGTAAACAAAAGAAAAGTGCACTCTGCTAATTCATGTTGAAAAGTATTTAATTACTTGTTTAAGTGGATTCTAATGAATTTGAAAGTATTTTTGGTTATTTACATGTGTGAGCTGAGTGTGTTTACATACAAAATAAACAAAAATTTACAACCAAAATTTGGAGGTTATGTTGAAGTTGACAGAAGTTACCATTTTTTACTAGAAAGCGATCCCGTACTTTTCAATGTTACTCTCTCGCTCTGAGCGAATTTTTATTTTTTGACAGTTTTACTAGTCCGAGTCCAAGGAATACGGGATTGCACCTAATGTTACACCTGCTTGACATAATATTATTAAACTTTGCCGCAGATACAAGCTAGAAGCAAAACCCTAAACACTTCCATATTACAACCCACCTTGGAAACTAAGTAGTCACGCATGTGATATCACTAGATCTCGGATATTTATGCAAGTGCATATATTGGTTTAATATCGCAGAAAGTCCGGACCAGGGTAGAAACTAATTTTAGGAACAAGTGAGCTAATTTGGTCCTATTATGCATTGCATCTTTTCACATATTGTGCGTGTTTGCATTTTTTGAAGTGAAACTTTTTTAGCGGCGGTTGGTTGGTTGTGAGTAAATTGGCCAATTCAACGGAAATTGCACACAGAAATGGTGCAACGGAAATGATGCAACGGAAATGGTTGGGGCTGAAACAAGTGCTTCTTGTGTGTACGCATATGGTATTAATTTAACAAAAAATTGCTAATAAAAGTTTAAAGAATTACACATAGAAAAAGACCAAAACAAGAATGAAAGTAAAGGTGAGTACGTACATAGATGAATACGAGGATAAAGGCAAAGGTAAAAATAAAAACAAAAACAAATATGCGTAAAGATAAAGGCAAAATGAAGGCCAAGGTAAATTTAAACACTTTACTTTTATAAGTGCAAAGGTGAAAAGGAATATGTAGATGAAGAAAATGATAAACACACAAGTAATTTTTAGCAAAAAAAACCGATTGCGACTCTCATATAAATATATATATATATATATATATATATATATATCTCATGATCCAGTGATCGGATCTTAACCAAATTAGTATGGGACCGCCTCTGAGACACTACCTTTCCGGTGCAGAATTATCGACGTGGTCCAAAGTTATGCGGTAACATACATAAAAAAAATAAATAAAAAATATTCCGACGAACTGATAACCTCCTTTTTTGGAAGTCGGTAAAAAAGTAGAAACAAAGATGAGGATGATGATACCGATAAAAGCAAAGATGAAGATAGAGGAAGAAAGATTAAAATAAAGGTAATTAAAGAGGAAAGGATATAGAGAGAGACACAGAGACTCAATATGGGAACTATTTTTTTGATTTTAGAGATTTTTGGGATTCTCGAAACTTGTTGTTGTCGATTTTGTTATCGAAATTTTTATCGATATTGTTAAAAATTTTGCTATCGATATTTTCGGAACTTATCGATATAATAATCGATATTTTTATCGACGGCTTTGTTAACGACATCCTTGCGATTCCCAGTCATTCAAACGTCGAAAAAACAGCCAAATTCGTCAAAACAATAGAAATGATAGTCGAAAAAATTAACCAAAGAGCGACAGACGCTCAAATATTCTTTTAGCACTTCGTCCACTAAATGGAATCTTTTAGGAATTATTTGTTTAACGTAACTTTTATTTATTGAATCGATTAGTTCGACAACTGTTCAAGTCCAAAATCAGCGTTCCGAGATAATCAATAAAAACCTTTTAACGCTGAAACTATTTGTTAGAGACTATCGGCATGCATAGAATAGTTACATGTGTCGCGGTTTCCAATTTATTTTTAATGGTAGTTTCCCAGAAAACAAACTGGTGTTCCAATGACAGATGAAAAGGTGGGATGGACTTATAATGTTTGCTGAGTGGAAGATCGACCAATCTCGGCATCCAGTTCGAAAACGCCCTATCTCAAAAAACTTTTCAAAAACGCCCTATTTCAGAATTTAGTTGAACGCCCTATTCATAATTCGTTTCAAAAACGCCCTATATCAGCAAATTTTCAATACATTTGGAAGTGTGATAGGGCATTTTTGATTCGAATTCTGAAATAGTACGTTCTTCAACAAAATTCTGAAATAGGGCGTTAGTGAAAAGTTTTTTGAGATAGGGCGTTTTCGAACTGGCTGCCGAGATATGTCGATCTTCCACTCAGCAGTCGATATGAGCCATTCTTTTTTAAACCGGACGGGTTTCATAAAAAAAGTATGTTATGTCTCCGATTCGCTTCAAATTTTTTTGTGGGTTCTATACTTGAAATAAGGTAACGGGTATTCGAGATCCGGAGATATGATCTGTCTGTAAAAGTTTTCGTGATTCCTACTAATCGCAGAGACTTCATCTTAACGTCGTTTTAAAGCTTTACATTTATATGTATATACATATAAGATGGTCATGATTGTACTCTAACTAACTTAGCTATTATCAGTTGAACTATTTGAGATTGATTTGCAAAGTGAAGACCAGTAAATAAGGGATTTAAACTTACACCATCGTAATCCTTGTTTAATTCGCTATAAAAAACATCTTTCAAAAAAATTATTTTGTGAGAGTCAACAATTTTTTGTAATTTTTTTCTTGCCGTAAATGGTTACCTTTCCTGGAAGTCAGTATTAATAAGTCATTATATTCTTCTGGAGTTCACTTTTAATCCGACATTTGGTGTTCTTTCCACTTTTTTTTTTTCAAAATGAATTCCGAGTGAATTTAAGTGTTCTGAGAAACTAATCCCCGAAAAAGTGTTCGGATATCATTCACTTCACTTGAAGTTTGTGAAATTGGTGGAAGCGAACATATAAAAAAATGAAACTGCTTAAATTTTGAGAAAAATAAATTTAAAAGTAGTTTATTTTGACAGTAAAATTAACAATTAATTCATATATATTTCTTCTAAATGGGTAAACATAGGAATTCAAAACAGGATGCAATCACTCTCCAATTCAAGGACATCGCACCTTCAAGTGTAGAATTGTTTAGTACTTCTTCATTAAAAGCAGGTACATTCTCTTCGTCTACGAGGTGACCCACATTTACATCTTGCATTGTTAATCGCACCGCCTTTTCTGGTTGGTATTGAAGAGAGCGAGCTAAATATCTAAACCGGCTTTTTAAAGCCCCTATATGTAGTTCTCTCCACAACATTGCGTGCCGAAGAATGATTTTCGTTAAAAGTATGTTGTGCTGTTCCAACAACTGGATCTTTGAACGGAGTTAACAAAAAAAAATTGAAGTGACCCTTCGGATTGCAAACTTTTAAAGCAAGTGCTTCAAATCAGGAGTTCGAGGATTGCAACTATTGCTTAAAATATGTCGAAAATAAAGCTCACCACATTGTTATTCAAAAAACTAACTAAGTTCGGCAGTTATCAGGTTTATTCGCGTATTGATAGTTTTTGAGATAGTTTTGCTGTTTGCGTACACAAAAATCTAGCCAAGTAGGGGAAAATCCATGAGAAAGCTCGAAATCCAAGATGGCGCCAACCACAAAATGGCGTATTTCATTTTTTTCGACCCTTTCAATATGGGTAGCAAATGAAGAGATTTGACTGGTAGAATACAGTCAATTTTAGAAAAAAAAAGCTCATCGAAAATGCCGTCCCAAAAATGACGGAACGGGAAATGAGTTTAGGCAGTCAATATATTTAAACTGAAATCTAGGTATCTAATCAAAACAAAGGATTTGTCAACTTAGAATCGTAATTCAGGCACGAATCCCTACCAAGCTAAGATTTCGTATCACGTCGAGAAATGGGTGTTGTTAGTAGAGTGGCTACAAATAAATTGTCGTTAGCGGTAACCCCATCCCCACTGTTGAGGTAAAAGGTTAAAGCTTAGACATTTAGGGTTAATAATTAAGTAACTAAATAAAAAACTAAAAAGCTGGAAATAAAGTAAGAAAAACAATCTTAAAATCTTAACGGTTTTATTGAAAAGAAATATAACGTCGTTTAAAGTACAAAACCGCGTATCGTCAATCTGCAAAACCGCGTAACTGACATTTGCTGCCAAAAATTGGATTTGCTCACACAAGCTCTTGGCTCAATCCTTATCCATTCGTCCTGAAATATACTAACCAGAAATGCGATTGCTTTATAAAAAAAAAGCAACCATTTTGCAATATGAGTTTTATTATTCTCTAGAAAATAGTTTACATAATTCACATACGCGGTTTTACATTTTGTTGATACGCGGTTTTGTACTTTAAACGACGATAATAATGATACAGATAATGCGCTATAAGCTTGCAGATTCGAAAACGCCCTATCTTAGCACATTATCAATATATTTTCAGTTGAGTTGAGGCGTTTTTGAACCGAATTCTGAGATAGGGCGTTCTTCAACCAAATTCTGAGATAGGGTGTTTTTCAATAAAATTGTGAAATAAGTTCTTAAAAAGTTTTTTGAGATACGGCGCTTTCGAACTGGCGGCCGAGATAGGTCGATCTTCCACTCGATATGTACTTTTCCAAATAATAATCTTTATTATTACTTATCCGCAATTCAGATAACACAAAAACTTATCAAACTGCAAATTTTTCAGACAATAATTTCGATTTACCCGATCGAACATTTCACTCTCTCAATACCACCTGGAACCTGGCAAGTCGAGATAGTCCTACTGATGTTAAGGAGCTTATACCAGAATTTTTCTGTTTGCCAGAAATGTTTGAAAATTTCGAAAGATTTAATTTTGGTTGTCGACAAAATGGCGAACGTGTGGAAGATGTACAGCTGCCGCCCTGGTGTCTTCGTGATGCTCGCCTATTCGTACTCATACATCGGCAAGCATTAGAAGCAGAGCTGGCTCGTAACCAACTGCATCATTGGATCGATTTAATATTTGGTTATAAACAGTCGGGTGAAAATGCAATTGAAGCCATTAATGTTTTTCATCCAGCGGTAATTATTTGGCTGCACTTTATATGCACTTCATTTAAAATTAATTTAAATTTCTTAGACATATCCATCATTCTTGGCATCCATTACCTCGGACCCAATAGAACGGAAAGCTGTAGAAACCATGATAAAAACTTATGGACAAATGCCTAGGCAGCTTTTCAAAAATCCTCATCCGCAGACAAAATCATTGAACTATTGTCTTGGCGCTAAGGATGTGCTGCCAACCGTACGAGGTCTGCGTTGGGGTGTCTATCTGGGATCGCCACAGCTGCATGCGCCAACGCTTGGTAATATTTACAAGATTCCTGGCGCTGAATATTTGGTTTCATTCAACAACACGAATGTTGTCTATGGTCTACCAACAAAATCTTGTATCATGCAAGGTGCTGAAGTAGATACATTCAATGTTATATCGTGGGATTATGAGGATCACATTGTTCGTATCCAGCCACTAAATAAGTTAAATACCAAACCGAAAAACATTCTGCGCAGCAACATTATCGACGATATTACTGCATGTGGTGCCGATCCCAATTCAAATCAACTTTGGTTCGGGCACAAGTCTGGCCGTATAAGTATATATAAATGCAGCACCACAGACATGAACAACCGAATAGTGAAAAGTCGTCAGAATTACATTCGCGGTCTTCGGCGTTCCTACAATTCGGCATTTCGCAAACTAACCACTAAAAGTTATGCAGAGGAAGGAGATACCAGCCATACGACACCACTATTGTGTTCCACAATGGGAACAACGTCCGATGGACTACAACGGGATAGTGCCGATCTGACATGGAATGGGCCCGCAATTCTGCTGCGACACACCGATGAGGTGACGAGTATACGTTTATCGGTTGAATTCAAAATAGCGGTTTCTGCAGGGCGTGACGGAATCGCCGTTATTTGGGATCTGAATAAGTAAGTTCAACACACAATTAGTAGGTACTCGTATATTTAAGAGTTAAGAAAAACGTTAAAATACGTATGTATGTGTTTTTTTAGTTGGAACTACATACGCACAATCGATAGACCTGCGGAGATTCATCAATCGCCAATAACAGTAATTACTATCAGCCCCACGTTGGGGGATATTGTTACTGTGCACACTACACCTCAGCAGTTGGCACCAAAACTGATGCCAGAGCGCCAAACTAAAACAGTGAACGGTAATGATGATGTCTCACAGCATAAAAGTGATGAGCGCACAACTTCACCGACAGTACCGGATGAATGTTTCGAGGTGACTGAAGAAAGTCTGGACGATTTCGTGAATGTGTCGATAAATCCAAATGGAAAATCAATATTGCGATTGCACACGGTTAATGCTCGTTATGTCCAGCATATTGTACATGAGGACCGTATATTGGCAGCCACATATTCTTATATCAAAGAGGGTGTTGGTGTTAATGTCATTGCTACGGCGGTGGAAGGAGGTACGATACGTTTATGGTCTAGCTGGAATTTGAGTTTCGTTAGTGAGATTGTCACAGGCATATCAAATATAAAAAGGTAACATAAAATCGAGCTAAAAATTAAAAGCTATCTAAGATATCAAATATTCTCTTTCCCTTTAGCATTGTATACTCAACACATCAGCATCTGGTGGCGCTAACAAAAGATTCACACATACAAGTGTGGGAAACTGAGGGACTTTATGGGAATTCGCCAAAATTTCCACAAATAGCATATAAGTAATAAAGTGGTGGGGTATACAAAATAATAATTTCACTAAAGCATACATACATAATTAAAAACAATAAAACTTTTTCAAAAAAAAAAAAAATTATTAAAAGTCGGCGAAATCGGACATAACCACACCTATCTCCTATGTGAAGCAAATAACTCAAAATTAATGTGAGTGAAAGCGCCCAGTTATGATTAACCTTATCTAGATACATATCGTCACCATCTATGCGAAAGGTCCCATGTAGAATTTTTCCGAAAATGTGGTTTTTACATATGTATGGTCGATTCCATAGAAAATATTGTACATAATGATGATTATTGGTATTCACTATATGTGTCAGCTTCGTCTGAGGCTATTTCTTATCATGTCCAGGCATTTTGTGTTAATTATTTTGCTCCTTTTGGCGAAAGATTTTTGAGGAACCTAAAATCGTTTTCAGTACTACAACAAGGAAAAGTACAAAAATATTATATTTCACTTATTTACTTTGGCTGATAAAGTTCTGGACGATAGAAAATAAATTATATATGAATTCGCCTTGGTAGAAAATTGTTACAGAAACAAGCTACAGGTCGTCAGATCTGCACCGTTTGTTCGATTTTCAAAAAATGCGGTGTCAAATTAAAGGGTTCCAGCTGTAGATGTGCAATAAGGTTTTACTTCTTCGAAAAGAGTTGCCACCAGTTCAAAAATTAAACTCAATTTTTTTCAAAAGTGAGGTGTCAAATTAAAGGGCTTGGGCTGTAGATGTGCAGTAGGGCTTTACTTTTTCGAAAAGAGTTGCCACCTTTTAAAAAATGAAGTTCAAAATATTTAAAAAGATGTATATTATTTGAAATGGTTTTAAAAAGATGTTTTTCTTAACTTAACTGTACAAGAGGTGCCGCCTGTTTAATAAATTAAATTCTATTTCAATTAAGGAAATTAGGTAATCGAAATAAATACCCCCATATGAGCGCCAGGCGAAAAGACTTTAAGAAGGTAAAAGTTTGTAAATATTTTGAAGAGGGTTGCCACCTGTTTGTAATGGCGAATTCAGTTAACTTATACACAACGAAATATGTATGTATTAAAATTTTTAAAACAAGTGTTAAGAAATTGTTTAACACTAAGGGTATTTTTTAGGTGTTTAAAGAGAGTTGCCACCAGTTTAAAAAGTCAAATTCAAATTCTTTAATAAGGTAAATAGATTATTAAAATATTGGGGTCAATCGAAATGGGTTTGACAAGGCTTTGTTCCTGAACTCTATTTAGAGCGTTGCCACATGTTCAAAATATCATATTCAACATAATTCATCAGTTAAACTATTTATCACAATGTCAGGCGAAGGAAATTTAAAGAGGTTTTAGCTTTAAAAAAAAAAGTAAATAGGGTTGCCACCTATTTGAAACGCCGAATTTAATTATTTCTATACAATTTAATCAAACATTAAAATGCGGGTGTCAAACAAAAGAGTGTTAAGATATATTTAGTTTAAACATTTATAATGCTTGAAGAGGATTGCCACATGTTTAAAAAGTTACGTTCAAAATATTTCGAAGTTAAGGTGAATTTAGAAAAATGGATATTAATGAAAAGGGGTTAGAAAAGCTTTATTTCTGACCTAGGGGGATTGCCACAATTCATCAGTTAATAGGTATATGTGACATAATGTTAGCAGAAAGAAATTCGCAGTCAAATTGTGGAAGAGAAATTTTATTTCGATGTGTGAACAGCCATTAAGACCTTTCTGTCACATTTCGGAAATCAATTTCAGAAATAAAAGTTGCAAGATGTGCCTGCAATTGGGAGAGCGCAAATCGATTTCGGAAATATATTTCAACTTGCTCGTGCTGCACAAGCAATCTGCAATTCGCCCTTCAGAATTAAAAAAAAAACCTCTTGCTCTTCATATTTGTGTTCACTTTGCGCATTCGTCTTCGTATACTTCTTCGTGCTCGTCTTGGTCTCCGCATTAATTATGATAAAAAGAAAAATAAATACATATACAAATTTATTAACTTGCTATACCATGGTACATTGGTATTAATTTCTTTCTATACGAGTATTTACACAATATAAAGGTAAATAAGGCAGTTCGTATTCAAAAACTCCTCCGACATAATTACGCGGATGCTATAAGACTTTGTACTTTGGTGTCTAAATACGTTTAAATACATAATTCTAAAACTCAGAAACAAATCTTTTATGCGCGCCAAGGTGGTTTACAACAATTCAAACGTTTATCGGATTTATCTAATTTGCTATTGGATGTCGACGTCTTAGTCTTATTAGCATAGGCTAAAATCTCGTCCAATTTATCGAATTCACTGGGTGATTTGCTGAGTAACTAAAAACAAAGTTAAGCGTTCATTAGCATAATGCGCTATATTATTTGTCACTTTTACCAACCAATTCTATGTATGCCTGTAGTCTGTCCATTGGTTCTGGCGAAGCCCTCCGATCGTTCACATTATTAAGATTATTTTCCTTTATTTTCAATATTCTATCACGTGGTTTATTCTTCTTGGGAGTTTCATAGTTCATTTCATCTTTATTTGTATCGTTTTCGATATTCCCTATTGATTCACAGTCTGTATTATTACTTATTTGTTGCGATCGATCACCAGGTGACGTTAATATTTCCAATGCTTTCTGCCACTGATCTTCCATAACGTCATGCAGTTTTTCTGCTATAACAGCTCTAAAATTAATGTTATTTGATTAATGAATTGACACGATTATTTTTGAGTAATATTAACTAACCTTTTGGCTCTGTAGGCATTTAATTTTGTTTCAAGATCCCCAATTTTCTTGGAGGCGTTCGCAAGTTGTATTCGATACAACTCTACTTCCTCTTTGTGTTTCTCTTGTAGTAAATTCAGTTCCATTTCATTTTTTTCGTTTATAAGTTCTATTTGTTTGACGGCCCGTTCGGCAATTAAACGTTCACGTTCGCGCGCCTCCAACTTCAGTATTTCTTCAGTCTTATCCAACTGCTGTTGAAACTCTTTCATTTTTTGTTCAACACCGCTTTCCAACTGCTGCTGATAATGCGATTTAAGGGTTTTTTGTTGAAGATCAATCTTCTTTTTTAAGCTTGTCTGAATACAAAATACCAGCTTATACTTGTTTTTTTTTTTACAGCAAGAAAATATGAATTACCTCACTTTCCGTTAGACTGGCTATTTTTTCTTGCAACGCTTTTTTCTGTATTTCTAATGTATCGGCGCGAGACTTCTGTTTTTGTTGAAAGTCTTGCAACATTTCTTTTTGGTTTCTTAAAGTAGCGCAATCTTTTTCTAATTCATCACAACGAGTTTTAAGCTGAAAATCCAAAAATGTGTTTAATAATGAAAAGTTTCTTTATAAAATCGGCACACAAAAAAAAGTGGTGTGTGCTTTTAACCAGACCCAACACCCACATGACGAGGCGAAAATGGTTCCCATAAGGGAGCACAATACAAGCAATTCTTAGTAGGGAGCCACAGACGTGGACACCCGAACATACACTTGCTTGCAGAGGAGCCCTCGCCAAGGCATGTCAGAAGGCATCCTCTGGACCCGTCAGCATATCGACAGGCCCTGAGCGGCATTCACAGGGAGTCAGTCAGTTACGTAGACTCCACATCTGTGGCTCCCAACCAGAAACTGCTTGCAGAGCATTATGTTATGCTCCTTGACTGGGAGCATTTTCGCCTCGTCATGAAGGTGGTGTTCTGGCGACATCAGGAGGCATCCAGTCGCTGTCCTGAGTGCGATGTTTTGTGTTGTCTGTAGCTTCATCCACTGCGTCCTACTAGTCCCCGGCGATCACACTGGTGCTGCGTAGTTTAAAACCGGCCGGCCTTTGTCTTTGTCTTTGCCCCCAAGTACTGCTTGCTAGCGACTTGAGGACCCTGTTGCGGCTCTGAGAAGAAAAGCAAACTGTCGAATGTTGCTGGGGTTATTCACCGTCGGAGTTGGTGTATCATCGCATGAATTCCCAGCAGTAGCCTGACCTCCTTCGTCCAGGTGGCGAACAAGGCCACAGAGGATTTCGTAGGGCAAAGGGCTATGCACTTTGCAGTGAAGAAGCGAGAAAGCTCGGAGAGATATCCGTTTACTTTCGAACACAAGTCATCAATTCCATTCCCAGTCGCCATGATCGAACAATCGTCGGCGTAAGAGACAATCGAGACTCTCTCTGGTGGTTGATGGAGCTTTGAAATATAAAAGTTGAACAGTAGCGGGGAAAGGACACCACCCTGTGGAATTCCCTGTTTTATTTTCCTGAGTTTACTCGATTTGTCTCTAAACATTACCGACGAGTGTCGACCACTCAGATAATTTGCCGGCCACCGGTTGAGCTTTTGTGGAAGAGAGGAAGCTTCTATATCTTCTAGTAGCGTGGAATGGCTGACAGTGTCAAACGCCTTTGACAAGTTCAACGCTACTAGAATCGGTAGTTAAATTTGGTTAAAAGCACACACAATTTTTTTCTATGCCGGTGTAATTAGTGAATAAATCAAACTGAAACCTAAGTAAATAATTTACGATACTCTTATTTGATATCATTTTTAAATTGCAGAAATATGATTGCTAGAAGGGTAATCATTATTTAATTTTTTTTACCCTACCTTCTCGTTTAGATAATCGACCTTGACAAGTTTATCTTTATACTTGGTTAGTTCATTTAGCGCAACTTCCTCTGATCTCTTACATCCATGAAGCTTAACCTCTAGCTCTTCTATTTGTTGTTTATACATATTAGCACATTCATTTGATTTTCTGTATTACAAAATCAAAAAAAAATATTGTAAATATATAGCTTTACACATGTAGGGAATATAATATTTCTCTATGCTTGTTGCCTTACCTGGATGAAGTTGAAAGTTCATTTTCGAGCTTCCCACTTTTATCCTGAAATTTCGTTGCTAAATTCACAGCCTGCGCCAACTCTTTTTGAAGTGTATCTATTTTGATGTTGCTTTCCGTCTTTTCCTCCTCCAGCTTTGAAACATTTTCTCGCAGTTGACGAGCCTCAGTGTCTAAACTATAAAGCAGTAAATTTATTATTAGCTGAGCGGTACATTCCAAATTAAAAAAAAAAAATACAAATACTTACACTTTACATTCAGATTGGGCATTGCAGATTGCTGCATCTTTTGCACGATCCACTTCGATGGCCACTGACAATCTTTGTTGATATTCAAGAAGGCGCGTTTGTAACGCATGTACGGTGCGCTCCAGGTGTTGACGTCGCAGCTGTTCCTCTATAAATACGGAATACTGCGGGGCAGCGCAAGCAATAGCAGTACCTTGTCCGCTTTTACCCCAGATTTCACTTAAACTAATTAAATTCAGATCTGTACCCTTGGTCCCTTTCACTTCTGAATAAGCTGACTGATAACAATTGCCTTTAGTTTTACATTTATCCATAGTTTGCGGGTTGTATAATTCATTATTTGGATTTAAATGTAAATTGATTATTTGTTCTCGGTTACGATCACCTAAGAAATCATCAATCTCCGTTAGTATACCTCCAGCATCATTTTTATAAAAGCCATCTGTTCCGCCTATACATTTTGGGGTAGAGTGAACCAGCCCCGCCCTTTTGTTGTGTTCAGCTTGTGTACCATTTGAAATCGTAGAAATATCAGAAGTCGCAATGAAATGGCAGTCTTTTTCACGTTCCATTAACTTCAATCGGGAATTGATTTCTTGTAGTTCAGCATTTCTGTTTGCTGTAAGCAGTTCATGTGTACGCAGAGTGGTGGAATCCATGATTTTATTTGAGTCGGTAAGTGTTGTATCCATAGATTGGCATGGCTTCTTTGAATGGAGTGTATGACTTGTATAACCGTTTACAGCGTTGATATAATTTTCATTCCAATTAACTGCAGCAGGCGGAGTTATTAACGTATGAATTGTCCGAAACTCTTCCAACTCCTCAGGCGTTGCTGTGACAAAGTAATTCGGTGGTATCAACAGCAAAATATCAGTATCACCTGAATCGCTCATTACACCGCATTACCGCGCAGATTCTAACAAAAATAGTGCAAAATTTCTATTAATCGAATAAAACAAGTTTGCGTATGCCAAAGTGAATTCAAATATTTGCAAGTAGTGATGGCACGATTAATTGAACAACCGATTATGTTCGGTTATTTCCATTCGGTTACCGATTTAATAGTATCGAAATTTTCCTTTCGATTAGTCGAGCAGGTATGCACATATTTTCATTTTATTTTCCGAATTCGGTGTTGCGAATTTTCTTATTTTTTCTATGGAAGATAACAAGCAACAACATTACCAAACACATAAATGCCAAACATCAATGGGCTACAAAACTTCAAACTGAAAATCTGTCTAAGAAATCTAATTAAAAAGCTGGAATTTTTTGTTGATACTTTTTTTGTTAATATTGCAAAATTGTTGATTTATTTATATTTATAGTTTTTTTGCTAAACAATAAGCTATATTTAAAAAAATATCTAAAATTTAATAACAAAAAAAAAATCTTGTGCACTATAATTTTGACACGGTCAGTTTTTACAACTTACAAATGGTTTTTATTAACTTTCGATTTTAATCGAAATGACCGATTAATCGTAATCTCTTACGATTAATTGCAATTATTAATCGAATGCTTTCGATTAATCAATTAACCGGTTAATCGATTATTAATTATTTTTGCCATCACTAATTCCAAGTTTATGTTGACGTACATATCTGTGTTCGTATGGAAAAGTAGCTTGTGTTGAAAGACTGGCTTTAGTATAATGCGGCAATCCCTTTATTTTTTAAACGGCAAGGAATTTTTTGATGAGACTTAATATAAGAATATTGACTTGCAAGTATCGGAACTATTTCTTCCACGTTTATTTGCCAAAAGTTTTTCAACGGCTTAGCGCCAGTGAGTCATTCGCAATCGTATGCTGCGAATGCCGATTTATATTAAAGCCAGCCTTTCGACATAAGCTACTTTTCCATATGAACACAGATATATAAGGCTCTGCTCCACAGGAAAACACTGATATCGTGATAACCTGTGACATGGTTATACATATATTTCCAATTTGATAGCTATATTTTCAATGAAGTTGGTCGGCGCCAACTTTCGCTCAACTTTTGATTCAACTAATCGCCTGTGAAAGTCAAACAATGCAAACAGCGCATTAGCGAATAGAACTCTGAAATTTACTTATTGTGAATGATAAATGAGCACAACAAAAACAACCCTGTTTGGTATAACTTGAGCATTACACGATCAAGAACTTGCTTTCAAGTGGCAATAGTCGCACTTCGCTTCCAACTCAATTTCCAATTTTTGTTCTCCGTTAATTTCGATTTAATTATTCATTACAACGCTTTTAAACGTGTGGAATTAGCTTTTCTTTAGTTAAAGCAAAGAGTGAAATAGAGGTTCTTGTGATGTAGACAAAAATGCTCATCTGACGAACTCGCAAACTTTTTTCTCAAAACCTGTTATACCATGTTCTGACCGACATCGAAAACATATTTTCGTTGCGTAAACTGGTTTTCGACCTAAACTTGTGTTTTCGTCCATGTAAAATCTGTCAAACGAAAACCAGTTTTCGCTGAAAACTACTTGAAAACTCACGGCCGGTGAACGGAACAGCCGGTGTGAACGGCCTTCAGCCCACAATCCCAAAACTCGTTTTTAAAGTGTTTTCGTTGTCCGTCAGAACATGGTAATACAAGTCGCGTTCTTGCATGATTTTTAGTTCATTCGCACATACATATGGATGTATAATACAATTTTTATGAAATATTGTTTGAAAATATTTAACATTCTCAAAATTATTATTTTTTCATTACTTTAATTTGATTACATATATAAATGAATGTATTTAATTATTTATTTAAAGCTATTCAAAAGCCTTGCGCGGATACCCACGCTTCTAACAAAAATTCTTTATTTAATCAATTATCTTTTTGAAGCTCTTACTTCCTATAAAATGTTTATTATGGTATAAATAAAAATTAATTTTTTACCTAGCATTTAGTATTTCAGAAGTATAGATTATTTTTCCGAATTTTTGAATACAACAGCTGAATACAAATGGCGCGAACATGGACATTCATATACACATATGTATGTGTGTGTGTTTTCTATATAAATGAAAAGATAATCACCCAACTTCATTCCTAACACTGTATTTAACTCCTTGGTGTATAAAAATTATTACTCATTTGTATTAGGCGGCGTGAGGCGTTGTGTGGGTGCATCAAAATCACTCTCTGCTTTGGGGCTGTCAATCGCATCCGAATTTGAACCTTCATTAAAATCATGGTCCATTCCATCGCCTGTGCTGGCCTGGAAATTATGTGCAGCATTCATGTTTTCTGCGCTCTTCATCTTTTTATCCATATTCTCTATTTTTTTCTGCAGCGTTGATATTTTTTGTTTTTTTGTATTCAATAAAGCAAGAAATTTTTGCAGCATTTTCTGCTTCCACTCTTCTTTTTCTCGTAACACTTGTTCAACGTCTTCAATTAGACGAGCAATGGTATCATTTGTTTTTTGAGTTTCGTTTCCACTTCCGTCCGTATCTATTATTTTGATCGCAACCTCCAGCATTTCATAACTTTTATCAGCTTCAGTAAGCTTTATTTCTAAATACTGAATGCAGAATTCTTCATTTTTGTTTACTCTAAGGATTTTTCTTTCGTTGTCCAACTCTATCTCAAAGCCAGGCAAGCCGATGTTACTGGTAAGCACACTTTTACACTCTCCACGGAAATCATTCAATGGTATTTCTAATTCTGCTGCAGGTTCCTCGAAATCCTTGGCGAGTAATAGGCCTTTGTAATATAAGCCGGAATTCGAATATTTTAGATATAAGCTAACGGCATCATCATGCCACTCACTATGCAGATAAATATAGCATTTACGATCTGCTCCTAGACTTTTGAGTAAAAGCTTTTTTAGAAAAACTGAATCCATCTCTTTTGTGTCCAAATAAACAAATGGTAAAATAGTTCTTGTGAAATCGTACACGAAAAGAAAAACATTTAACAGCTGTTGTTTACATTAAACAATCATAATGCTAGGGCCACACTTCAAATTGCAAACTGTAATCGAACGTTTTATCGATTTCAACATTTGCTTAATGGCAAAGTTATTGGGGTAGGAATAATACGGAATAATAGACCCGTTCGAAGGAAACAAATTAATAATGTTACATATAATTGCAGCTCATGGTTTTAGTCGTTTGCTTTAGTCGGAGGCTTTTGTTAAAACCAATTACAATTTGAAATCAGATTTTTAATTAAAAACCTACTAAAAATCAAAATTCTATAAAAGTTTGATAAGTACATACATATGTATATACGAAAATCATATGATTTAGGGCCGGTGGTTCAATGTCTGGTTAACACAAATCGGAGGTATAAGCTCCGGTTAAATACAGCAACTGCTTTATCGATTCCATGTAATATGCATGACGTCCAAATCGTCGATGAAGCTACAGACAGCACAAAACACAGCACTCAGGACAGCGTCCGGATGCCTCCTGATGTCACCAGAACACCACCTTCCTGATGAGGCGAAAATGCTCCCAATTAGGGAGCACAACACGATCCTCTGCAAGCAGTTTCTGGTTGGGAGCCACAGATGTGGCCACCCAAATAGACAGCTGCTTGCAGAGGAGCCCTCGCCAAGGCACGTCAGGAGGCATCAATATGAACTGACGGACGAAGTCCAGAGGTTCATTAAGCAGCCTCTGGATCCGTCAGCTTACAGACAGGCCCTGAACGGCATTCACAGGGACGCAGTCTCGAGTTATGTATACTCTAGACCTAGGCACACAAACACCGGACATTAACGCGACGGAGCTCCATCTGCCTCGGGAGACCAGAGCAACAATAGGCCAACTTCGCTCAGGCAGCAGGCTAAACTCCTACCTGAGTAGGCTAAATGCGGATGTGCCGAATGAATGTCCGGCATGCGAAGACCCCTCACGACTCGAAACATCTCTTCGCATGCCCGGAAAACCCTACAACCCTAACGGCGTCGTCCCTGTGGACCGACCCCAGAGGCTGCACGCTTCTTAGGGCTGCCGTTAGTGGAACTCGACGACAACGACTGAGATATCAACCGATCCGGGCGGGGTTGTGGTAGCCGCTACAACAACAACAACCAGACATTGAACAACCGGCCCTTAAAGTTCAACCTGCATTTTAAGAAGTTAAGTGGGGTAGATACTCCGTGCCATGGCTATCATAGGGGAGGATCAAAGCGGTTTGAAACATTGCACTGTAAAAGCAGCTTTGGTCATTATCGATTTTCATTGGCGCATCAAGGGTGTTGATTGTTTCGTTAATGGCTGTTATGGACGGATGAATCCTCTTACAAAACACTCATTGAGAATTTCCGCGATAAACATTTGCAATAAATTAAATAGCACATCTTCTAGTAGTAGTATTTATTATGTTTAAACATCATAATTTGTTTTCATAATAGGATTGTAAATAAAATGTATAATTAATAAGTTAATATGAATACATAATTGTATATTTTAATTGGAATCCCCAATACATTATATATGAATGTGTGTATAGAAGTATTTATGTATGTACATTAAAGCAAAATAATAAAATAATTTTGATTACAATTTGGATTATAAACAAAACTTAAATTATACAAAAGATACTAGAAAATATTAACAATCAAATACATGTAATGCACCTAAATAAGGAAAGAACAAATTTAGTCTTTATCGAGTTAAACATTTTTATACTCAATACATATAAATGTATGTATGTACAATAGTTAAATGAATTTAACGTTTGAGCTTTGGTCAATACATATATGTTTGTTTTAACATCTTACTTCACAAACAATGGTTCAAAAAAATGTAGCAATTTTACCACACGAAATACATGATATACATACATATATAGAGTGAAATTCATTATACAAACTAAGTAATTTCATAATGAAACGCAAGCCCAAAAACTAAGTAATGCATATGCGCAAGAAATGATTTCACATATGGCTTTGTTTAGCTGCAATCAATACTTATACAGTAAATAACATATTTTTGAAATATACTTGGAAATCATCACTTTCCATTCTTAAGCACTTTTAAATGATAATAAATACATTACATATTTGCAAATGCTAGCTGTAGACATTTAAAAAATGGTTATGTTATATGTGCGACTCCTGAACGTGAATCCTCATAGAATAAGCAAATCATCATCACCGGGTTTTTTAGTCGATTTCTTTTGGTTATCAACTCCGACGGCATTATTTGCGCTGGTATTCGAGTTGGTTGCCGTTAGGTTTGGAAGATTTTCGGCAGCTGCTGCTCTCTCTTCCAAAAATTTATCAAACTCGGTGCTCGTTAAGGTTTCTTCAAATCCCTCAGCGCCCTCTTTCTGCAAATTTCAATAGTTTACTCAAAGTCGTAAATAAATATGTATCATATGTATGTACATATATACGAAGATTATTGTTTAAAAATTGTTTGAAAAGTTTAAAACAAACACTATACAGGCGTGATCATATAATAAACTAAAAACTACATAATTATCCTGAATTACTTACAGAACTGCCTAACCATGCCTCCATCTCATCAACTTCGTTTTCTCTTGCCGGCTTGGGTTATGAATCATTCAAAATACGTAACCGAAAAATAACAAATTAAAAAAGCATAAATTTATTACAGGAACGTAAATCTGTACATACATACATACACACAAATAAAAAAAAAAGCTTTAGAACATGTACATATCGTCGTTTAAAGTGCAAAACCGCGTATCAACAAAAAGCAAAACCGCGTATCAGCAAAATGCAAAACCGCGTATGTGAAGTTTTAGAAATTATTTTCTAGGGTGTAAAAACACTCATATTTTTTATAAAGAAATCGCATTTCTGCCTAGTATATTTCAAGACGAATGGATAAGGATTGAGCCAAGAGCTTGTGAGAGCAAATCCAATTTTTGGCAGCCAATGCCAGTTACGCGGTTTTGCAGAATGAAGATACGCGATTTTGTACTTTAAACGACGATATATATAAATTTACAAATACAAGTATATAAATGAATACACTCTACTCACTGGGCTTAATATTAAAAAAAGTTCTACTCACTTTACTTATAGCCGCAGTTTCTTTAGTACGCTTGAAAGGTAAATTAATACTACCAGCTGCTGCATCAACTGTGGGAATGTCTTTCAACAGATCGCTTTTGCTGGAAAAGTGTGATTATTAATAAATGAAGAGAAAATGTAGCAAATAAGTCCATAGAGAAAGAAAATAATTGAAATGAAACACATAAAGAAGTAAGATGAAATAAAAATACTATTTTCATTCTGGAAAATGATATGTACTTATTTGTGTCGGTCCTCGATTGCGCCAACATATCGAATTCATCTACATCTTTGTTTTGAGGTTTAGCTGCACTCGTGTCTGCAAAAAATTTTCAATTGGGTATTTAATGGATTAAAAATATTTTTATATTCTTTACTCATAAAGCTAAATGAATTTGATAGTTTATCGACTCTTGCATCCAGATCTATTAACCGTGGATCATTTTCTATTGTGCCAGCTTGTGAGGCACTAGTTGGTGGCGGTGCCCCTATAGCAGCGCCTAAAATAGCGGAAGGCGAGGTAGCACTGCTGCTAGATCGATTCTTTTCGTATCGTTGGTGGCGCAAGAATAAATTGTTTAGTTCATCATTAAGGCGTAGTAACTCAGCTGTTAGTTCGTCGTCATTAATTCGCCCAATTAAATCGACAATACGGCCTTGCATTTCTCTGAAATCAAGCGGAAAAATCATTTATATGAGTGCATTGGTCTATTGTTGATAATAATTATTAATTTACTTGCAAGTTGATGTTAGTTCAGTCAGCAAAGCATAGTCGTCTGGATCCTCCTGTCCTGGTTTCAACTCAGTAAGCATTTCCCCAAGTACAGACATATTATGGGCCACGATTTCCAATTCTGATTGTAATTTAGCTGTTTGCTCTGCACTCAAAACGGTGGGTCCATTACTCTAAAAATTTAGCATTATAACAAATTCAAGGTAAAAATTTTGTAAATTTTACATGTGGTGCTATGGGCATTGCGTGTTGTGGAGAAATCGTTTGTTGAACATGTTGCGGCGGAGGCTCGGGTACACTCTACATAAATGCAGTACCAATTAATTTCATATACTATTAGATATTAAAGCTAGCTACTTACGCGCTGTGGGGTATAAATTGGTGCCAAGTTCTCAATATCCGTTTGTGGGAATTCGATTCCCTTATTCTTCAACTCCATATACATTTGTGTAACACCATTCAAATCGGGTTGATTTTTAAAAGCATCCGCCCAGATTTGAATTAAGCTCAAAACTTTTTCCTGCATCAAAGCTGGTGGATCATTTTTGGGACCAATTAATTTGACCAGTTCCTGAATGAAATCCTTCTGAGCAACTAAAACATGAAACGCCTTGCCACAGTTTTTGACGCAAGTCTCCAATACAGTAAGAGTATACATGATAACTTGATTATCTTTCCCAGCATTTTGAGAGAGCCTTTTCCGTATGGCTTTCATGGCGTCACGTGCCGTGTCAGAAGATTCATTAATCATATCGCATATTTCCATATTTACGGCCCAATTTTCCGATGCCAGGGAGCTGTCGGTGGCTTGCTCTGGAAAATCAGAAATGCAAAAATCATGTTAATGTTTTTTTCAGAAATCCGTTGTGTATAAAGCACAAAAGTAGCACATCACTTAAAAATTTAGTGTAAAACTGATAAAGAATATGGTAAATAGCACAATATATTATTGAGCGTTAGCACAATAGTGTGAACAAAATAAATTTCGCTTTATACTAGGGCTAGTAGCTCTATCCAAATTTTTTCATTATCCGGATAGTACGGATATTCGAATACATATCTGAATAAAAAAATTCAGATATCCGAATAATTTGTTGATAAGCGGACATCTGAATATTTTATATATATGTATGTATATTCGAACCTATAAATTTACA